CCTATTCTTTTTTTTTGAGGTGAGAACACATAAAATCCATTATCTTAGCAAGTTTCAAGTATTGAATATATCATAACATATTTCTTTGTAAAGCATGAGGAGTTTGAGACTTTGTCCCAATGGCGTGCACTGACTCCCAGGCTAAGTGCAACAAACAGTTGCAACAGTGAAAGGCAAGAGCCTCTGAAAGTCCTGGATGACTTTGAGTATCTTGACCTAGACCTCTAAGCTTCAAACAGTTTCCAAGGTTTCAGATGTATGCCTGTAGGGGCATTGCAAGGCTAGTCTCCACAATCTATTCAGAAATCAGAGGCTTCAGGTAGATGGTAATTGTTTCTCTTCTCCCACCCCTTTCTCTTTCTTTTTTTCCTTTGCTGCTGTAGCTGTTTATTTTTCTCAAGGACAAATATTCCACCCAGTATGTGGTTTGGAGAAGCGGCAGGAAGCAGCACAGAAAGGGGAAGGAGATAAATGTTTCTTCACATCCCAAGGAACTAGAAGCTTGAACAAATAGTACCCATAGTATTGTAAGCTCTCAATGAGTTCGGATTTCTTTGGAATTCCTGGTCAGGGGATAGGCACCACCTTATGGAGACTTAACTTTACCTCCCCCTTTCCCACATTTCAGCTTTTCCATTTTCTACACACCATCAAACCTCTGTAATGTTCTTAAACTTGCCCAACCTTAAGAATGACCTTGATTGCTTGTTGCAATTGCAGTTTCCTCTCCACCCATCCTTTCCAGACATAACTAGGAACCAGACTCTCTAGGGGTAAGCCCTTGAAGTTTGTCTTTTTCAATGATTCTCAGATGAGTCTAATAATCCATCAAATTTAGGAAATGGTGGTTTGCTTTTTATCACTTAGGTGCTTAAGAAGGTTGTTTCTACTTAAGTGTATCTGTCATGCAGATTGTGGTTGGAGGAAATCTTTTATTCTAAAAGATAAAGTACTGGGCCAATTCAGGGTAAGGACATGGGGGTGGGCCAATGACTTATGGGAAATTTCAGAGATAGTTACAAGGTGTTATAATTATGCACCTTCCAACAGTATTATTCAATAAAGATTTATTCAGGCCAAGCTTATACTGCAGATCCCACAGATCAGAAATCACGTTATATGCTGATATCATGAATACAGAGATATAAAACTGTGCTCTTGGAATGGTCTAAGATTTCTAAGTTAATCAATTATAGCACCAAGTCACATTTACCCCAGTTCTCCCAGTAAAGATGCTGCATGAATGGTCACACGTGTGCATGGCCTCAGTAAGGCAGGCACTAGGAAAAAAGAGTTATATATATTATGGGTTAAGAAGGTGAGTCTATAATGGTAGAATTGGAGGGAGGCCAGAATACATTAGCATTCTGTTCCCAGTGGTCTTAGAGGAGAAAGATTCAAGGTGAAAATTCACTTTTATATCCGATATGCATTATCAGTTTTGTTATAGGTTAGGAGCCAAATTCCACTGTTGGGTACACACAGCTCCAATGTGAAGTTTGGCCTCCTCATGCCTTTGAAGCCAATTGTATTATCTAATGACTTCAAAGGCATTTGCAAATAAGTAACTTCAGGGGTAAATTTTCACCTTAGCAAGCAAGCATGGTAAAGCAAAGGCTCTCCTGTTTCTACATACTGGGTACAGCTCACCCAAAATTCAGTGTTGTTAATAAGTAATGAGCATTTTTTCTAGAGTATTTCTCCCTCTCTACACAAATAGGTCACCCCAGGAGGAGAAATTAAATAGACATCATCTGTGTTAAGTAACTGAACACCACCAAAGAGAGCTTTGGTCCCAATTTCCACATTCCCACCTATCAGGGTTAAAGTGAGAATGCTCTTGATTTGGTTTTATTACACGGAACATCCAAAGTTAAAGCCCTGACAGAAAAGTCTGAGATAATTAGCAAAAGGGATGAGGAATGGCATGTGAGCACAGAGGTGCAGTTTTTAGATGTAAAAAGGTGCTTGGGTTAGGTGAGGGTTTTAATCCTTGAAAACAATTCATAGGAGTACAACCTTTTTTTGAAAAAGAATAGCACATAGCTTCATAAAGCAAAATATGCTTTTACAAAAGGAAAAACTGACCTTGATGCAAGAAATGACTGTGAAGCATGAGAATATCTTTTAAAATTACTTCTTGATGAGGATGTGGGGTGGGCATTATCAATACCATCAGAGGTTCTTAATGTATGCATATATTCATAGAATAGTTGTTGAAACAAATATACTGGTGTGAGAAAACTTCCCCCCATTGGTAATATGTAAATACTAATAGAATTAAATTTTTCTCTCTCGACTCAAGAAACAATCTTAAACATTGTAGGTAAAGCAAAACCTTGTACTTTTAAAGGGTTGTCAGTGTTTCCACTATAAATGACCCATTTTCTGTGGTTTGTGACTCCCCGCCATACACAGTTTGCTCCAGGCTAACATACTTGCCCTATTTCATTCAAAGGCTTCAGTTTCAATTGATTCAGTCATGAACTAATGCAAAAAATGAGAAGGTTGTTTGTTCTGATATAAGGACTAAATCTGAGGCTTTGTTTCTAATCGATATTAACTGACCACTTTAGGGTTTATGAAGAAAAGAACCCCTCAAAAAGAGGGCAATTGAAAAGGGTATATTGTGATTCTGGGATCATTCCTTTTTATGAGGAATTTCACTACAGATGTGTGACAAGGTCTATATAATCCTGAGGTTTGTGAAAGAGTGTTACAGTAATCCTGGGAAGGTTCCACAGGACCTACTCATGGAATGGTAGTTTTTTACATCAGGGTTTTCAACTTGAACTTGACATCTGACATAGAAAAATACCTCTGCATTAGTTAATTTTCATGGCTTGTGGTTACTTATATGTAATATTTATAGTCAAAAGCTCATAGCAATGTAATGCTTATTGGTTATGTGAATGTAAGTGATAATCCTTGAAATCTGGGGAGCAATGGCTTTAGGAGGTGGGATTAAAAGGTAAACCCAGTTCATAGGACACTAAATTTTGGGGAAAATTTTTTTAACCCTTTATTTCATTTTGGAGTGCAGAGTTCTCTGACTCCTGAGAGAAGAGCTTCTGAAGTAATTGGAAATGATGGGACATTCCCTGAATTTTAAATGAACATATTAGCCAATAACCTCTTCCATAAAGTTACAATAGCTCTTCCATAAAGTTACATGTTAACAACTTAGTTACAATAGTTCCAATAGCTCTTCCATAAAGTTACATGTTAACAACTTCAGTTTTGACCATGGAAATTAATTATGTGGGCTATCTGAGTCTATTTTGGGCAAAAATACAGACTTGCACTGAAAGGTTCAAGCTTAATCTAACAGGAGAGTCACATGCTCTACAAAACTGCATTTTTGACCCAGGTAGCAGTTATGGTCCCATGATACCTTTTGCAACAATTGAGAGCAAATTCTAGCTCCCTGGTCAATTCCCAAATCCTGTTTCCCCACTTGCCTAATATTTTCCTCTGCCATTTCAAGTAAAAGAGAAGGTCACTTTCTAGCTTTTACGGTTGCAGAAATTTGGGGTAATACTGGATTAATTATGAGGCATTCAGCACACACCATCTCTGAGATATTTGCTAGTGGTGGTGGTGTGCAATAACAACTAATTCTACCTTTGTAAATTTTCATGTAAAATGATTTATAGAATCCTCCTCACTTAAAAGTTGCATTTCAAATATAAGCCTAATTGAATCAATTAGTTAGATAAAGCTCCACTCAAAAAAAAAATATTGTCCTCATTAGGAAAAGAAAATAAACATTTTGAAGAGTGTAGCTCTGAATGGGTGGTGTACCACGTTATGGCAGGAGTTAGGGTCTGAAGATGAGTATTTGTTTAGCACATTCAGTCTTGGAGAAATTCTTATTTAATTAAGAGAATCCTAACCTTTGGATCTGAAAAGGATTCAACCCATTCTTTCAAATGGTTACTTGGAGATGTGTGAAAATGAAGATGATGTGGTCAGGCTGCCTCTATTCCTAGTGAAGCTTTGCCATTATGCTCATGTCCACCACCATGAGGTGTTAGAACACACACAGACATTAGCTGGGCTCAACCACCACATGAACTGAAATGGAACAGCAATGGGATGAAGATGGTTTCTGCACCTGTGAGCTGGAAGTCATCACCTGTTCCGCTGTGGCAGTTGGCCTGGTCGTCATCACATTCATCCACTGGGTTCCCATTGGGAGTGGTTGGTCCAGCTGTAGGTGCTGAAATGAGATCCAAGGATTACTGTCTCACACCTCTGAAATGTATTCTCAAGGTTTGGGCTGTTGAATCTGCTAAAGCTTTTGCAGAAAACTCTAATCTGTAGTAAGAAGGCCAGAGCCATGCTTTGCCTCTCTTTCAGGAGGCTAAATACACTTGGATTTTGCAGAATGCACCAGAGTTGCTTTGGTATTTGATCTGTATCTGCTGAGTGGAGCTGGCTGCCTTAGCATTTTATATATTGCTTTCTACATAAACATCCTCTTTCCGAAAAGCTCTTGAATTCTCACTGGCCTGGAGTTGAGAACTCTGATGATAGAGATTTTGCTTGAACTGTTTTTCATTTCATTTTTAAGGTAATAGAGAATTCGCTTGTCATGAATTCTTTTGTATACTTAGTATTGACCAAATTTGTTAGGTGTATGATCTTTTTCCCCAAAAGGGAGCATCAATATTCACACTTAGAACCACATTGTTCTTTTTTAAAAGAGTTATTCCATTTCTAAGTAGCTTCTCAACCTGTGAGCCCTCTTGCCAGAGCAGGTGTGTGAGAGGAGTTGTCTCATATATCCTGAGGTCATGTTACCTGGACTCCCATGGGACTGCATTCCAGAGTTGGCAGGTATTCCCATATCTTTGAATTTGTAGTTGAAAGGTAGCCAACATTAATCAAAGACTGCTTTTGAAGTCCTTTAAATTTAGTTCAGTCTACTTTTTTGTTTTTCAGGCTGTTACTCATTTTTGCAATCTGTTTAATATTTTACAGTTTTCAGGATTGCATTTCACTTTATGAGACTTGAGATAAGGTACAGTTCCCTTGATGTTTGAGAACCATACAAGATGCTGAGAGTTGGGGGCCTCTTCTCTTACAGCTTCTGGCTAGTAGGTATGTACCAGTAACTGCTGCTTTCTCAGTAAAAACTTGATTCTGTTTGTTATTGTGCTTAAGTACCGAGAAGAGTTATGACTAATGTAAAAATATAGCTAAGTTTCAACTATTTCAACTTCCCAAATACATACACTAAAGATAATTCAGTAACTCAGAAACCATCCTGTACATGCCATTTAGATATGCAATGCAGACTTTGTAAAATGCACAGACATGTCTCCTGGGCTCTATTGCCACCACTGAATCAGCAGAACCCTTTCTGGAAATCCACGTAGTTATCTTCTCTAAGCTGTCCTTGATAATATGTTGCTTTTACTATCTTAAACTATTTACTCACTTTACTGATTTTTCTGCATTCCTAATGCTGTTTAGAAAAGAGAAGTTTGGCCCGGGTTGTGGCTCAGTGGTAAAGCGTTTGCCTAGCACGTGCGAGGCCCTGGGTTGGATCCTCAGCACCACATAAAAATAAATGAAATAAAGATATTGTGTCCAACCAGAACTAAGAAATAAATATTTTTTTTAAAAGAGAGAAGTTCCATATTGAAAGTAATCCAGGACAGTGCCTAGGTTAAATAGCAAAATGTAGAAAGTGAATGATTTTTGTGCCCCAGTTTCCCTACTTGAAAATATTTTATTTTCTGTGGTTCTGTTTCTTCGATGTAAGTGCTACCTCAAAATAGGAAAGACACTCATGGAAGGCTGGATCGTGTACCTCATCTTCTCTGTATCCCTTTAGTATGTTCCCCAAAGAACAACTGGCAAAGCAGATATTTAATAAGTCTTGTCGATCAATTTAAGGGGAAAAAATAACAGTCCCTTTCACCAATTGTGTTAAAAAAAACTTTGACATTACTCTCAGATATTGGTTTCTCATATGACTGGGGGTGACTTCCTCATTTTCTTGAGTGCTTGGAAACATCTGCAGTCAAATCCCTTCACCAACGATTTCTAGCTCACTCACTACTGAGTTGACACTGGCAAACTGCCACAAGGCTCAGCGTTTTCAACTGTCCATTCTTTCCACCTCCTAAATCATTGCTGCCTTCCAGAATCTAGGTTAAACACCCACCTGGTAGCACCAAGCCTCCCTTTTCTAGATGACCACATTTCTCATGCAAAGAATGAATGTGTCTGTAAGGAGGGTCTATCTGTCCATCCCTTCTTTCTCTTGGCATCTTTGCCAAAGCCTTGTCACATGGTCATTCTTGGTTTGTGCTCCTAATGATTGGCTAATTCAGAGGTCTGGGACATGGCTACAGATAAGGAAACAACCACCCAGTAAAAAGTGGGAGATAATGACCTACCTTTAAATAAACATATAGAAAAGTAGCCATGAATTTATTCACTAGTGATTGATAGAAAGCTTAAGATCCTGTAGTGTAGGAAAAGTTTCATGGTATTTAATGTGCTTAGGAATGTAATTACATTTGGTTAGCTCAAAACACAAATAATTTTGAAACCCAAACAAGATGATATTAAAAAGCATTCTTTGAAACAACTATGAGCATATGCTCAATTGATTAACATCTGGGTACCAACAATAGCCATTCTTCAAGCTAACCTGGAGTAAAAAAAAAAATCTCTATGAGGATAGGAAAGCCGGTGTAAGGTTACTCATTTATGCCCAAATCTAAGGCAGATGGGAATTCTAATGCACAAAAGCAGTAAATGTACAATAACCAACTCAAAACATCCATCTCAATCATCATATGTTAAAAGAGAGTGCAGACTTGAGGTCAGTGTGTGCACTGGATTTGTCCTTGTTATGACCTTCATACAACCATCTAAATGTATGTAGTCATATTTTTAAACAGATCCAACCATACTTTCATACACATGATCTCATGTAAAACTTTGTTTCTACGAAATTTGCAGCAGACTAAGAAATTCATCCAAGATAAGTCTTGATGTCTTACTTGTCAAATGCTGCTTCCTGCTAGTAGGTGACAGTAGTCAATATCACAGACAGAAACTTAGATCTGATACAGAACTCTAAACAATATTAAAAAGTCAAAGGACTTGGTAGGTTAAGGAAAAGGGTAATAGAAGAGAAACTGTTTAATGGGTAAGAAGTTTTACTTTGCAGTAAAAGAAATGTTTGGGAACTTGAAAGACATGGTGGTTTTACAACAAAATTATGAAGGTAGTAAGTGTCATGGGGTTGTTCATTTTAAAATGGTGAATTTTGTGTTATGCAAATTTCGCCTCAAACAATTATGATTAATAATCATAATTATAATCAGAGCTACAATTCTATAGAATCTGAGGAGAGTTATGCAAACAACTAGCACAAAAGGAAGATTCTGAAGATGCTGCTTCATGGTATATGCTAGAATGCTGAGCCTCACTGATTGACAGGCAAGGAGATGGAGGGGTCACCTGGGTGAAAAGGTGGCAATTTTGCAAAAGCACCATCAGAGGCAGAAATGCATGAGGAAGGAAATAAAAAAAGGAGGAAACTAGAAGGGACTCTGGAAGTTGTAATTACCTTCTACTTCACAGCCCAGCAGCTCCATTCTTAGCCCTAGTCCGCCATGAGTGGCTCTCTCGGGGTAGATTCTGATGAATCGTGTGGAAAGAGGTGGAAAAGTCCGTAGCTCAGGTGTGTCGTAGTTGTTGTTGCCTTCAAAAGACTGTGAAGCATAAATAACACAAGGTATTTAAAAAGAAACCTCCTTTTTTATTGTTTTTCTACCCTCTGCAGGAGAATAAAAACTTTTCCTCTATGTTTTAAGGGTTCTATAATTGAGTCTATGAAATAAACTAACAGTAGATAGATTAAAAGGTGCACAAATTTATTACATGTTTAAAGGTAAAACATGCGAGATAATTGACTGAGTACTCAACAAGATCTAGAAGTTCACATATCCTCTTCATAGGTGTGATGGGGGCAATGCAGGAAACTTAGGAGTGAGTAAATGACTTGGGAAAGATGAAGAGTTTCTTGGAAGAATAGCTGATAACATGTCTGTCTGGGTGAGATATTGACTCTGTTCTATTCTTCTGTAATTGACCTTACTCTTCCCTAGTGGATGAGATTCCTGGGACAGTATTTATAGCAGCTGAGTTCCTTTGGAAGATACCTCTTTAGGCAGATAAGGAAGTTCAGAGAAATTCCTTCCTTGCACATTCTGTGCCTCAAGTGCCCTAGAGTTTGGGGGATGGCATTTCCTGAACTCTTTCACCTCCTTTAGGACTCCTCAGAGAGCAGAGAAATAAGCCTCATTCTACCACTTTGAAAATGGTGAACATTTCTTTCATAAATGAGAAAGAAAAAAACAAACCTTCTCTAAGAGGTGGCAGATGTCATTTCACAGGAACCCCATAGTACACACTGAAGTACTGAGGCTGTACCAGAAACTGAGCATTTAACGAGACATATTTCTGAATGATATACTGACATGCCTTGGAGAAGTGACACTTTTATCACTACCCTGAGGTGGAGGAAGATAACTCAGGAAGAAAACTAGTCATTTCCAGAGTCTACAGTAGATAACCACATTTTCAATAAATACTACAGTTACATTCACTTAAATGAGAGGGTCCTAGTTTTGGTAAAACTTGGTTCTCTGGAAGAGGAGAAATTAAATTCTTGAAGTAGACGATAGTAATTTTTTTTGGGGGGGTGTTGGGGATAGAATCCAGGGCCTTGTGTATGCCAGGTATTCTCTCTACCACTGAGCTACACCCCTAGTCTAGAGACAGTCAATTTAATGGAATGCAAAGGCTACTTATTAAGAAAGTGGATTATTCCAACCCACTGAGATTCTTAAGTACTACTTGTTGGAGTCATGTGTAGATAAAAGACCTCATCTTAGGAAAGTAACCCGGGTCCTGACTACCAAGGAATGCTCTGATTCCTGGTTGAATTGTATGTAGTATGCATTGGCACCCCTTTTGGAATGCATACATGCCTAGTTTGAAGGCACTATGACCCTTTTCAGGAGCTAGGCCACTATTGCAGCACTATTGCTGGGTTAATTTATTTCCCTTGTTACATCAACAGGAGGGTAAAAAATCACTGGGTAGAATCAAAAGAAACTGGAGTGAAGATTAGGCCTCATTTGTTTTTCAAGAAATGAATAAACCTCCAAAATCCCCTTTTCTCCAAAAATCACTCTGAATCTGTTGAGAATGGAAGAAGGGGAGGAAGATTAGAAAAATAAATTTTCTATTGTGGTGTTCATTAGTGTAACACACTAAGTGCTTAAAATGTATTAACCTATTTATTCCTCAAAACAACTCCAGGAGGTAAATTCTATCATTACTCATCTTTCACAGATGGGTAAACTGACAGTAGAGTGCACAAGGAATTTGCCTCAGCCATGTAAACAGTAAGGAGCAGAGCTAGGATTAGCACCCAGCCAGTCTTAACTGGGATTAAGACATCTCTGCTCTTAGAAATCATATAGTCTGGACTCCTTATTTTATCTGTTCATCCATCCATCTATCTATCTATCTATCTATCTATCTATCTATCTATCTATTTATTTTTGAAGGAGAGTGTCTTGCTCTGTTGCCCAGGTTGGTCTTGAACTCATGGGCTCAAGTGATTCTCAGTTCAGACTCCCATATAGCTGGGATTACAGGTCACCACAATTGGCCTACATTTTAGTAGGTGAGAACACTGAGGTCCAAAAAAATGCCCACGCCTAAGGAACCATAGTTTCATTAATTTGTATTTAGCTGGTGACAACTGGCTACTAGAACTGGTAGCTCAGATGGACTGGTTGGCCCCTAAGGCAGTGCCAGTCATGAATGGGAACCAGACCCAATAGTTGGTCAAGACATCACAGAGCTACCTAAGATGTGATCTTTTAGAGGTGGAAATGCTATGACAAGAGAGTGGAAGCACATACGTGGTGACACATTGGATAGGCTGTAATATGACCAGGGGGTTTCTGAGTTATAGAAGTAAACCAATTGGTCTTTTCCAACTCAGAAAACCTACACAGGAATCTGAGAATGCTAACATAAAGCTGCTTCTCACAATTAGTTTTCTTCTATTATTATTATTTTAAAGAATGTCTCACTATCAGGGTCCTGCACTCTTGATACAACTGCAATTGCTGCCAGTAATTGAGAATCTGACATATATTATTGTTAGGCCCAATTAAGTTGTTGTCAGTAAGATGCTAATTATAATGAAAATACCATTGCACACGTGCAAAGTCTGTCTGTGTTAAGATAACTCCAAAGATCACAGGAGAAAAGCATTGGTATCTATGGAATCCCAGGCTCCTCTCTTAATTTTAACTTGAGCATAGAATTGACACACTGTAAATATATTATAAAAGCTGTCAGTAGTGAGCTGGAAAGAATACTCACAACTCAAACCCATATGGACCTGGACTAATTTTGATAGCAGAAACCTGCTTATGAATTACCATGGTGTTCTGCAACTAATTATATTTTAGAAGACAAGGGCTTTGTTTGGCTCTATCTGTTCCTGAAAAGTCTAGTTAATTTAAAGGGTCAATACCTTCTCCATCATGCACTGTTTGTGGGTAGGAGTAAGGAGAGGGCAAGAGGATTTTATACCTATCAAAGTACTGTTTTATTTTATGAAGCAGAGTACTCATTTTACTTCTATTTAAAAGGTACTTGGCATCCTAAGCAGGTAGCCTTCATTTGTACGATAAAATATGTTTTAAACATATTTATATAATTAAAACTATGTGCTGCTCTAAAATTGAAGGTTTTATCAGTTTCCTTTTTCATCTTTAGAGGTTTTATTTGAAGGGTATGTTAGAAATCATAGATTAGTCTCTACATAAACAATTTACAAGCTTTCATGGTTTTAAATATCATAGGAAGATGATAATGATGGATATTTTAGGAATAAAACCCAACACATTCAACCAATCTTGAATTGAGCATTTTGTTAAAGTTAAAACACATGCATGGGTTTCTTGTGGAATTCTGTACTCGGTCTACTACAATAGAGTGATAGCTTTAGGCTCGATTGCAGACGCTTGGATTAGATAACAAAGAAGGCAAGCATATGATGCGTCCTATCAAAAGCATATGGTGATTTGTTTTCTGTCTCTCTCAGAACTCTAGTGTTGAAGAACGTGTCACAACAGCACACTCTGCCATTGACAGCAGCCCCAGGAAGTTGCTGATCTGTAGCATATTCACACTCTGATGAAATCCTAATGCTCCCTGCTCCTCAGAAAAGACCAACTTATAAGAATCTCCAGTTCTGATGTTTATTTTCCTTTCTCAGTCACCAGGATGAGAGAGGTAGACATAAAAGAGGAAAGAGAAATGGACACAGAAAAGAAAGTAGCCACACAAAGGTAAATATAGCACTGAAAATTTTTAGAACCCACAAGGTAAGACAGGGAGAGATGGTGGAGAATTTCTTACTCTTCTGAGAGAACCAGCTCTGTCGGTGGCCAGTTGTTCTGATGCTGACCTGCAGCCTGTAGAGGACAGGGAGATCTTCTCAGAGCCCCACATCTGGAGGGAGTGGGAGCTGGCAGCACTAGCCAGGGTTATATTTCCTGCCTGAGATGCCTGTGGCCTGAGTCACTACACTACACTTGGTGGAGTGGGGGCAAGGATAAAGCAAGAACAATATTCCCTCCAATAAGCTGAATTTTCTTCTTTTGCAAAGTTCCTGGGCAAAGCAGAGATGGAAAGGATAAGGCCAAAAGGCCAATTGTGTTGGTGTGAGAAGTATCATCAGCTGAATGCAATTCTCATATTGAATACAGAAACTAAGCTGCTGATTGCCTGTGGGTTGATCCTTGTTTTAATCCTAAACCCACTTCCGGGCCACCCTGCAGACTCCTGGGGAATCTTTCCAAGTTGGTGTTGTGTACTCAGGAAATGCAAATGTAACCATCAGCCTAAGTAAAAGTTGATTATGTAAGCATATCTGTTCAGTTAAAGAATTATGCCACATGTTTTTAGAAATATTGGAATATTTTTATCTTGAGATTCCCTTCTGTTTTCACTGGATTATTAAGAGCCAACAGCTTTTTAAAAGGTTCCAGATACATCAAAAATATACTTAAGCATTATTCACAGTAGCTCAAAGATGGAAGCAACCCAAGTGTCCATCCAGGGATGAATGGACAAACCAATTTGGTGAATTCATACAATGGAATGTTATTTAGCTTTCAAAAGGAATGAAATTCTGACACATGCTGCAGCATGGGTAGAAGCCTGGGGACAGAATGCTAAGTGAAATAAGCTAGTCACAAAGGGACAAATACTGTATTACTCTAGTATTGTATGATACTCTAGCCTCCTAGAGTAGTCAAATTCATAGAGACAGAAAATAGGATGGTGCTTGCCACAGAAGGAGGAGAGGGGGAAACAGAGAGTTGTTATTTAGTGGGTACAGAATTTCAGTTTTGCAAGATGAGAAAGTTCTAGGGACTAACTACACAACAATATGAGTTTATTGGACATTATTGAAGTGTACACTTAAAAAGATTAAGATGATAAATTTTAAATTACGTGTATTTTATCACAACTAAAAATTTAAAACAGGGACTGGGCATGAAGCTTGGTGGTAGAATGCTTGCCTAGTAGGCCCAATGCCCTGCGTTAGATCCCCAGCAGTGCAAAAACACATAAATAATTTAAAAATTGAACACTTAATCCAGTGGTGGATGAGAGAAGAGGAAAAGACACCAAATAGACAAAGTCGAGTCTGCAGTCAGCCCCAGCTCCAAACCTCACTCTTATCCACCTCCCATCTGAATGTTGAGCTGAGACTTTTCCCTCTAAAGAGGGAAAGGGCGATGCTTTTCCATGTTGACCTCAGGCATCACTTTCCTTCCTGTACTCTTGTTTTCCCTAGAATTGGGGTCCCACTGACAAAATAAGAATGAGCCCTTCCTCAAGAAAATGCTGGAAGTCCTTGACTTACATCAGGGGATTGAGGAAGAACTTCGACGGGGACCTCTTAGTGGACCTCACCTTGGGCTTGCGCTTGCTCTCGTCCATGATCATCTTCCAGTCGGAGCCATTGTTGCTGTACCCTATCTTGAACTTCCTCATGAACACCTTGTTCTCTCGGTGCTTCCCACCCTGAATGATGATGCCCCTCACAATCTTCTCCTCCCCCAGGTCCACCTGGAGCCACTCATTGACGTAGGGGTGGGGTGCAGGCGGCAGTGCCCAGCCGGAGCGACTGGTGACCAGACGGATGTTTTCGGGCATCCAGTTTCTCTCCCCTTGGTTGGATGCTGCAATCTGGGAGTCTGAGATGAGTCCAGACACCATGCCCAGCATTCCAGAGCAAGGATAATCTAGGAGGTGGAACGAAACAGATAATGTAAAATTATTTTATGGGAAAATAGTTTCTAGAAAGAAAATGCAACCATTTGAATAAAGACAGTGTCTTCTACCCATTCATATGTTTTCGGTCTTTGGATTATTTTACATTACACCAGAGCCTTCCCTCCCTTAAATCTTTCTCCTACTTTTATAGAATTTCCTCTTTCTTCGTTCGTATCCCAGTAAGGAAAATTTTTAGCAAGACACACACTCCCTCTCCCTGATTATTTTTAGTTCTGCTGCATTTAATGTCAAACTCTGGAGGGTTCAGTCCCATTAGTATTCAGAAGTTATTCCCAGGGCTGGGGATGTGGCTCAAGCGGTAGCGCGCTCGCCTGGCATGCGTGCGGCCCGGGTTCGATCCTCAGCACCACATACAAACAAAGATGTTGTGTCTGCCGAGAACTAAAAAATAAATACTAAAAAATTCTCTCTCTCTCTCTCTCTCTCACACACACACACTCTTTCTTAAAAAAAAAAAAAAAAAAAAAAAAAAAAAAAAAAAAAAGTTATTCCCAGATCAAGGATAGGTGCTGCCCAAAAGAAATTCAGAATTAACCATCAGTTGGAGATATATAAAGAAGCAAAACCCATATTGAGAAAGTTGCTCAAACAAAGATAAAAAGAAGATGATAAGGAGGTGAAGACACAGAGCTTGATTGAGCTTGGAGAGAAGAGGGGAGTTCTGGGAGGTGGCATTTGGGTTGAGTGTTGAAGGACAGTAATCATCTTCCCCCTCCTCATCCTTCTTTTTAATTGTGTTAGGAACTTTCCACCTGAATATCTTTTTGTCATCTCAAATATGCCATGTGCAGACTAAACTAGTCTTTTCCACTGACACTGCATCCCTTTACTGAACCCTGAATTTTAATTGGTGGCATCACCAATTACCTAGTTTCTGCCTGGTCATCTTGTCTTTTCTTATTTTGTACTTCTGTTTTGCTATCAAATACTGTCATGATTTCATTAAAAAAAGAAAAAGAAAAAGCTTGAGGTTGCCTCTTGCAGTTTCTGTTTCTTTGGGCATCATCGTGATCTGAGAAGCCATAGCTAAGGGGCTAAATAATATGGTGGTTGGCCTCCTACACTCTAGTTCTCCATCTAGAGTACACTAATGGCTGTACAGAAATTTTCATGAAATGTTGATTTTGCCATGTCATTCTCATGCTCAAAAATCTCCCACTACCAAAAAGAATAAGCCAGACATAAAAGGACAAGTTCTGCATAATCCCAACTAATATGAGTTTCCTACAATAGTCATATTCATAGAGACAGCAAGTAGAATGACCATTGGGGTAGGGAGAGAAAATGGGAATCAGTGTTTAATGGGTAGAGTTTTAATTTAGGATGATTAAAAAGTTCTGAAAATGGGTAGTGTAGTTGTACAACAATGCAATTGTACTTACTACAAATAAGTTGTACATTTAAAATTGGTTAAAGTGGTAAACTGTACATCATATACTTTACCATATAATAAAAAAGAGAGATCTTTAAAATATATACCATGGCTTTCCATTATTTCTAGGAAAATATCAAAAATTTCTATCTGGGTTTCAAGACCTTCATTGTGGTTTTACTTCACTTGTCTATTTTTATCTAAGTACTAACAGCGTATTCCAGTTAGTTCTGTTTTCATGTACTATAGATATAACCCCATCACTGCCTTTGCTCAGTGTGTTCCTGCCACCCCTCTCTCCTCATGTTGACAGGAATATTCTGCCCAGACTTTAAAATCCAGCTTAGATTTACCATGGAAATTTCTCAAGCTACTCTCATCTTCATTTTGAGACATCCCTCCCCAGAAATATGGTGGCAGGTATGGAAAGTAGCCTAGAGCCTAGCACTGAACTGTATTTGTTTACGATTTTATCTACAGCAATATTTTAAGATCCTCAAAGGCAATAAACAACATCATAGACCTTTTCATATCTTCTACACCAACTCAAGTAGCTTTTGAGCATAGAGCATCAATTATTGATTAATTGATTGGTGGCCTAATAACAAAGTGTCCAATGCTTCAATTATTCTCTTTTTAAAATCATACATCTCAATCAAGAACCTGCCTAGGGATGATAATCTACTTTTCATTGAAACAACTCAATTCCCCATGCTAACAGTAAAAAATATAGCCTAAAAATAAAACCTTCCTGAGCAAGAGGCACGCTTCTAATGCAATTAAACTACACTCATGTTATCAGTTGACCCTTAAGAATTAATTACTCAGATACTTTCCACATGAGTTGGACAGTTCAGATCATGTCAATTCTTCAGTGCCTGCTAGTCTAGGAATTATGCATGTAGTTTTCAACCAGGCATGCCAGACCTTCTACCTCACATTCATACAAGGCCTCTCCTCATCTACCCCTTTTACATGAGCCAGTTGAGATGAAGTACTTCCTGTCCTTAGGGAAAGCTTTCTCTCATTCATTCTCTCCACTAAGAATTCCCCCATTATTTTGCCATTTCCACTATCTGATCTGCATAAAAATAATGACTCATTTTCAAATGCCAAATCATTTCTTCAACATTTTGAATCTCTGCAGCTAGACATGGTTTTCCTTCTCTGGGATTCTTCACAATACTTCATCAGCATTTCTCATATGTTGACAATCATATTCAGTTCTTTAAATTGCTGCTTTTTGCCTCCTCAGATTTTAATTTTGTTGAGGGCATGAACCAAATCGTTTATTTTTTCTTTCATTCTTTGACTGTTTTATACGATGTTGTCCTCAGCAAATATTTGTTGAATGAATCAACTTATTAATACAATAAAAGACAGCTGTCATTTTCGCAAATACCCTTTCCTGTAATTCAGTCACAGTATTTGCTCCAGGCTGGGATCTGGAAACCAAGAAAAAACTCAATGGGGATTAAAAAAAGATTTACAAAAGGTATGTTACTGAGGGACTATGAAACTATAGTGTTAAAAATAGAAGTCACATTTTTTGGCCACTGTGGTCACACCTGCCTGATTCAAAACCAGCTCTTATAAAAGTCAATGTTCAGTTGGTAATGGGGACCAGATGTTACCATTTGTAGAAAAACATAATTAACTTGAGTATTGTAAGGACAGCAGAACCTTCACCAGATCAATGCCCTTTTTCTAATGCTGAGCTGGCTGAGGCACAGTTTATATCTCCACAAACCGTGGGCTACTGAGCCACCATTCAGCTAACATAATATTCCTAGTGCAAAGTTGACCTGCTATTCCTTCCTTATGTCCACCTCATCCAAAACAACCATGAAGGGCCACCTTAATCTGCCTTTGACCAATAACTATGTTACTTACTTTTAATAATTAGGAGAAAAATTATATTAGCAATTAATTCAATTGACTGAGATGCTAGTTTCAAACTGCATTCTTCTATAGGTAGGCTGGTTCAGATTTAGTTTAGCTTAACTTTACAAACCATTTGGAAATAGTTGCCAGTTTTAGCAAACAAACAAACAAATAAAAAAAGAAAAAATTGGATGCACAACTAAATAAGAATTTCATAAAAGTAATGAATACTTTAAAAAATATATCCCATGCAATAGTGAGGATATACTTATATAAAAAATATTCATTATTTATCTGCACTGAACATTCTGCATTTTACCCAGCAACCTGTTGGGAAAATGAACATTCAATCCTGGATGAGAGGGAGAAAAAAATTTTATAGTAGGGGACTGAGGTGGATATTTCCAGTAAAATATATATATATATATATATATATGTAAAATATATATATATTTTACAGTAACATCTCAGTACTTAGCTTTAATGGAAAAACTGAGACATCTTGATAAATCAAATATCCATTTAACCAGTTTTCAAAGACTGAGAAAGTAATAGGTGCTTTTGATGGGAGGCCCTAAATGAGAATAAGCTACTCTTTCCTCAGTGACTTAGCTGCGGCATCTAAGATGGTCATTGTGATGTGTTCACAGAGTAATTTTTAATTTTGTAGATTTTTGTTTTTCATATCTAGTCTGTTAGGATCTGCCTACTCAATAGGACAGGGTAAAAAAATTTGAGGTCACTTCCTTGTTAGAAGGCATGGATAGACCTGCATATTCATTCAAAAATAACCGTAGAGTGCTTATTGTGTTACTGTATACTTGTGTTACAGGTACAAAGGACACAATGGAAAATAAGGTAACCGAGGCCTTGCTTTCATGAATTTTCTAGTCCAACAGGGATACTTCAGTTCTACTCGTTCATTAATCTCCATGCTAAGGGGACCATGACCTCAAAAGAAGAAAATTTTCTGTTCTCATAACCAAGAGAGTTACCTGATACTGCCTTATTAGAAGGTCTCCATGCGAGGGCTTATTCTGGCTTCACTTTATGGAATACCACATCCTACTTTAAATTACTGGGTACCATTTAGTGAGTACTCACTCAAAGCCAGGTATATTGCAAATATGCTTTCATTTAATTCTCCTTACAGCTACATTAAGGCTAATCTTATAGATCAGGAAATGGACATCAGAGAAACAAGATGTCTTGCCCATGGTCAGACATTCGCTAAGTGGACAGTCCTGAGTCAAGCCTGGATATGATTATATACCCTCTATTCATGTGGCCATCACTATATTCTGGCCTCTCAAAAAACCATCCCAGATCAGTTACTTTGAGATTCTAGCTATCTTACTAGAGAGAAAGTATTTACATGACACGAGGGGTCATGTTTAAAAGATAGCACTATGAGCCTATAGGCAGTACTTTATTTGAAAAACAAAATTAGCTATTTACCATAATTATAAAATAGACTATGTTTAAAATATTAGAATATGCTATTTTAGACATCTATTTTTAAATAACTAAGTCATTTAGCCAGTTTTAAAATCCAATAAATTATTTGCCTTCTTTGCTCACATTCCTAGAATTTCCTCTTGGGAATGACTTTATGAAAATTAAAAAGGACAACTTGGGTTCAAATAAATATTTTATATAAGTAAAAGCATATGACATAAATCTTTAAAAGGTTGGAAATTCAGAGTTCAGCCCAACATATCTGGAGTCTTTATGAAATTTACTTCATTTATTGAATATAATGATATGAGATAAGGTTGGAGAAATGGGCCAGAA